ACTGTTTGTTAGAGCCACATGAAAAAAGTAGTTGTCAGACCATCCAGTGTGCAATAGAAATTAAGATCCCCAAGCAAGGAATATAGTATGGATACAAAGATATACTCAGTTTTCTTCTCAAAAACACTTACGAAATGATAATAGAAAGGCTCTATCACAAAATCATTGAAGTGTTCACTGCGAATTTAAGGGTTTTAAACCAAGTGTTCAAAAACAACACACAAAACTACTTGGAAAGCTTGTCAGAAAAAAAAAAAAAAAGCAGAAATGTGCTATGAATGAAAAAGAATGCCCTTAGTTTAAGATTGCACAATGTGAACTGAAAATCTGGAATGGGAAGTCATAATTAGGGACTAGGCATCCACAACATGCAGTAATTGCAACTACTGGATCAAATGCAAATAACAAGTACAGTCAATATTTTTTAATAGCACAATGAGGCTACATAAAACGGCCTTGCATTGAAAGGAAAATGCCAACTTTTTATTAGTGTATGAACAGTTTAAATTTTAATGCAAATGTGTATAATTTATTTACATTACTGTCAACTCTCCAAAGATACCCATCTTCTAGCTTCTGTGATACATCATTAATGGAGGACCTAAGCAGGAGTTGAGATCTCTACTTATTGAAAATTGTGATCCTCCAACAGGTGGCTGCAAAACTTGCCTGTGGTTACATTCTTGCCAAAGATGCACTGTTTAGCCAGCTCAGCCTTGTGTTTATGTTACTCTAATAGGATAATATAATGAGGTAATATGCTAAAAACTTGACTACGCCTGCACTGCAGAAATACAATTATTTAATAACATGACACAGTCATTTGGGACTGACAGTTTTTCACAAAGCATTAATTTATTACCTATCATTCTGTCAGAGAATATTTTAATTTGAAACTTTAGAAGCCTTCCTGAACAAGTCATAACTGTTAAAAAAAATGAAAAATTTAAAAGACAAGCAAACAGTCATTCAAAAGGCAAGTGATTTTTTGGAGAACATTCTTTGATTCGGCTTTTGCTAATCTATCTTTCTGTAAATTGAGTATTTACTTTTTTTTTTTTTAAATTTATTTTTATAAACTTTTCTTTTATAAAATACTAACAGAAGAATGAAAAGGCTCTAAAGATAACCTGACAGTAAGAAGTCATGACATCCATAAGGCAATAATTAGCAGCTTCTCCAGGAGACAGGAAACTAGCAAAAAGGACATCATATTTCTAGACAGTGAATCTACCATTTAACATTTACTTACTCTTTAAGATACTCTTTACATTCTAAGAAGAGTAGGTAGCAAAAGCTATAGCAAAATATTCCACTGCTTCTCAATAGCAAACGTCTCAAAATTTCCAACCCTGTCTACTTCTGTTGTTTTTTTTTTTTTTTTTTTTTTTTCCCCCTCCAGATTCTAGGTATTTGCCACAATCTGTTTTGAAAGAAATAATTGAACAAATGGGCCAAGACAGAACATGAAAGTTTTCTCTAAGTTTTTTAAACAGTTTTGAAAGTTTCTATCTTTTGGACTATAACCTGAAATTTGTCAAAAGGGTCAGAGATGCTTCAGGAATATGCCATTTCCAATCATCATTAAAATCTATCCAAAATCTGATGAATTCACATGCCTCAAAACTAGACACCATCCTCAGCACAGATAACAGCTACTTCTCTAAAGATTTATGCTTTCATTGGGTATATGTTGGTTCTTCACATTTGTCATATACTAACAAAGGAGTAAGCATCATGTCCACAAAGCATAAACTACACCAGAAATATAAGTACCAATAATTTAAACCGGCTTCCAGAAACCATTAGTAGAAACTAAGAACTGTGAAACTCGTCTTTACTTGTAATGTATTGCCTATTGCAATCAGACAGTGTGGAAGAGAAAGAAATAGGATCCAATGAGAAAATGAAAGAGATTGTGTACAATTATTTAATGGGGTGAGGCACTGAAGTCTGAAATATCTCAGAAGAAAGAAGAAAACAGATCTGTCATGTGTTACTGAGAAAACAGACAGAAGATTTGGATACACAGTTGTAAGACAGGGAGAACTAGAGGTGACCACCGAGCATGAGTAACAAAGATGATGAGAATATAATCAGAGCGTGCAATTGCAAACATTTCAAGACAGCAGAGAGTTCAGCATTAGCTATGTTAAATTAAATTCACTGGAGGACATCCAGAAAAGGAGATCAGAGTGAGGGAATAGGACTTTTGAATAAATGTGTTTATATTCATCTCGAGCAATAAGCAATAGATCATAGAGTGAACAGAACTTACTGAATTATTTTCATAAACTGTAACCTAACATCTTCAGAAAACAAAGTCTATAGGACCACACTTAAGATAAAGAAGAATCATGGATTTTACTCAACGTCAAAATAATTAGTAAGTTAAATCTCAGAAATACATGGGATTAATCACAAAAGGAGAAAAGGAGGATTCAAGGAAGGATTTCAGTGGAAAGAGTTGGCAATTCTGTAAAAAAAAAACATGCTGAAGGAATGACCTAAGAGACTTTATGAGAACCAGACTAAGATAAAAATCAAACCAGCCAAATGAGTAACACTAACAAACAAGCAAGCACCAGAGCTGGAAGAGGCAGGGAGGAAGGACAATGAGGTGGCAGACAAACCTGGCTGGGACCCGGACAGAGTTATAGGAGCTTTGTTGATGGCAGTTTCAGCTGAGTGAAAAGGACACCAGCCAAAGTGGAGGCAACCCAGGACTGAACTGGAGGCACATCTGATAAACTCAGAGATGAAGGAGGAATATGGGACTGGCTGTGCTCCCAGATTTTGCAGTAAGGTCAAAGATGATGAATCTCCTAATTCTAGATGAGTGAAATTTAAGTGTTACTTAGGGCTAGTCTAATTCCTCTGTGTTTGAAATCAATGGTTAGATCAACATTAAAATCCTGTTCTAATGAATTAAAAAAAAGCGCCCACATCTAAATAAGAAAAAAAAAAGCATAGTACAGGTATGGAGAGAGATGCTAGAGGGAACATGAGTCACAGATCTTACATGTCCTTTTTTAAGTAATATACAGAATCATCATAATTTTTTCACACTAATTGTTAATTGTTTCATTTCCTTAAATAGCTATTAACATTTATTTTCTTTAAGATATTTTATTTACTTAGCAGCAAAATCAACTAGGAGAATCCCAGTTTTGAAGTTTTCAGTCACTAGAATTTATACTGCAAGTCCTACACATTTTCACCTTTGTAGAGCATGTAATGAATAAACAGGTAGATGTTCCTGTACTGTGGTCACCAAGGCTGAAGCAGAAGCATATTCCCAAATGAAATAGCAGCAGCTCTCACCTTTGTGCCATGTGAAATTTAATTTTTGAGATCCTAGTGTTCAAGATAAGTGTACACTTCTTTGAGGTAGGATGCACTACTACTTACATACACAGGGTTTTACACCACTATTTTACAGAAGCATGATCTATCCAGGGGAATGATACAAAAAACCAGTAACATAGCATTTGTGACTTTACTGATAGTTGAATTCAAAATAAAATCACTGCTAAGCCAGCAACATCTTAAATTACTGACTTTAACACAGTGTTCACATGGCACTAAACTAGGCTATTTTTTCTCTTCAGAAAGTCCATCCTCTTGGAGACAGCCAATGAAAGAGAACTAGAATAGTTCTCTTACTTGAACAAAGCATGGTATACCACTTAACTAAAGAGCCTCCTCTTCTTCTGTCTAAACTTTTAATTTGATAAAATCTTTTTACAAGTGAGGAGAAACTTTTTTTAAAAAAAATACCGTATTCAATACTCTAAAGAAGATATTAGCTTCAGTATATGGTAAAACTAGGAGAATTGAAAACAGTGTCAGACTGTTTTAAACAACCTGAAAAATAAGAAACGTGATTTTTTCCAATAACTTTATTGAATATATTTAACCATAAACATTTTCAGATGGTTGGTGATTTTAAGTTGCCTGAATAACCTCAGTTTTATAGTCACACTCCTCAATTAATTTCAAAGAACAGTTTGAAAAGGTTTTAAACTTTTTTTTTTTTTTTTTAAATAATCAACATTGAATATTGTAGAGATACCATGGAATGATTTTTTTAAATAAGCTATGTTATCTAGGAAAGCTTGCTTGTTTTAAGAATTCATTGAACAAATTTATTCTACCCATTTTCCCTTTACCAGTTGTGTTAAATTATTCTTCAGGAAAGATGAGGAGGAGTTAAAGAGTTAAAAAGACTTCTCTCATATCTATGCCAGTCACTTTTTGAGTATGTCTAACCAAGCTTCAGCTTAATGTGTAGAATAAGGATGACCTTAACTATACCAGTAAGGTATTAAGTGGATTAGTTAATATTTGTACATTATTTTTGAAGTTAATTAGTGAAGAGAAAAACCTGATTATCTTCAGTCACATAAACCAGTACAAAGAGGTGTCAAAGATAAAGTGTAATGACAAGGATCATAAAAATAAATTCACTGTAAAACTACACCACCACGGTTTTGTAATGGTATGTATACACCAGCAGTAAGAGCACTCAGACCAGACAGCCCAAAGGCACAGATATCACTGTAGCTGGAATAGCAGCAAATTTGCACTGATCCCTGCACTATTTTATATCAAAAGTCTTGTCGGAGTGGAAGGTGGGGCAGGGGGGGAATTTTCTAATATAGACATCCCATCTGGATTCTGTAAAGTTTTCTGACTTGCTGGTTTTGTTTTTTTTTTCTTTAAGTTATACTTTTGGTGAAGCATCTATTGAATTGAAATGTTTGTAGTCCTATAGAGTGCTTTGATTCAAAGAAAAAGACTTAATGAAAACAACAGATAACACTATAGCAGACTAAGATATGAGTTAAACAGAAAACAAGTTATGGGAAAAGCTTTTAAAAACTTATGCTTACCTGATTACAAAAGTGTACACACCTGAGCTCAGAAAAATAGCTGGTCATTCTCATAAGGGCAATTTTCATTAAAATGACTAACAAAATTCTCTCAGGATGAATGAGCCATTGATAAATCATGTCCCACTTGTCATAACAGACAAAAGCTAATATTTTTCAGTACTTACGTCAAACGTGGGTGTGCTTTGCTGGGCGCTCTGATTACATGGCTCTCTGAAGCAGTCAGTGAATGGAAGCAAAAGACCCATTGCAATAATGCGAGAACACAGTTTTTCTGCTTCTTCTTGTGGTGCATTTTCCTGCTGGCTGAAGAGCTTTTCCAGCAGAGTTCGTCCTGCCAAGGTGATGACACGGATCAATAAGCATTTGTAACTATCTACAGGACACAAAGATTAAGGCATTACAATGTGTATTGAAAATCTCAACTACTAGAAGTAAAAATAGGAAATAAGAATAAATGAGAAAAGTAACTGATAATAAGTTTTGAATATGAAATATTTCCATAGAATAATTTGAACTCGTGTAGCCTGATTAATTAGGTTAGTCAAAAAAATACATATTGTGTTGCCTGCACTGCAGAGTAGGACCAACAACCATGAGATGCTATTGCAGTATCAATTTCCTATTTATTTATATTATACAATTGTCCTGATGGGAAAACCATTACCAAGAAATTAAGTAATTTTTTCCAAGGGTGTCACACAAAGTTATAATGGATTCAAGTCTCCTAACTCTTGGAATAAGCCTTTGTTCTTTGAATCATAAAATGATCATACTCTTTAAAGAATTGTGCTCTATTTATTTGGAGAAACTCTCAATAAAAGAACAACAACAACAAAAAACCCACCCTGATAACTATTCTGTTTAAAATTGTGTTTAATACAGCTCCAGAGCATCAGAGTGCTCCAAACTAAAAATCATACAAATCCACAAGCAGCAATTCAGAGAAATAAAACTTCTGAAGAGGGAGGAGAGACATTCCTATTATAGGGCCACATTTCATGATCAAAGTGTTTTCAGTTTTATCTCACCAGAGCATATGTTATAAAGCATATTACAGAAGACAATGCTAGAGATTTGAAAAACCATTATATGCTTTGTGCAGTTAGCCAGAAAGAGACTACAAAAATTAGTTATATACATAGGCTGCAGTAAAATCTACATTGTAAGAATATTAAATTGCCTGATTAAGCTCTAAAATGTCATTAGATGCCAAAATTCAGATTTACAGGATCTACTTAAAGAGATGAAATAGATCTACTGGAAGAGAAAAGGCAGATGGAGTAATAAAGTTAATTTCACGTTTTAGCATGAACTAGACGTGAATAAAGTTTGTACATAAATCAGTTTCTGTAGTATGTTTTTTCCACCCACCCACTGGAAGCCAAAGGTATTTTCCAGAAAAAATATACTGCATTAAGGAAGCATTTTAATGCCATTTAAAGTAGTTATAACAATTATTATAACAATACTGGTTTTAAAATACAAATGCAAGATTTCTGTTTGAATGTTTATTTTATTAAAAATGTGAAATTTCCCAGGCTTTCTGAACATACTAAAAAGATTCTTCTTTTAAACATCTGGATACAATTTAAAAAGGATATGGTAAGTGATGTTTAGCTCAAAGTTTATGTATTATTTTAACTTCATGTTAAAATGTTAGACGTTATTTCTAAAATTTTCCTCTCCACATCTAATGATCTGATAATTCTGAATTATTAGGCAAAATTTTCTAGCCTTTTATTAGACACAATACAGTACATTCAAGGGGATAAACTTGTAAGATACACAGATTTTGTTACGTTTAATAATTAGTTTGCCTCTGTTCCTTGGTTTCACCACCGATAAAATGATGTTAACATAATTGCTTATTCAACATATTCCACTAAGATACAGTTCAGTGTTAAATCTTCAAAGTCATCGATTAATTTAAAGACAGGTGTTCTTACGGTTGATATCCACTGTGATTTTTAACAACAATTTACCCACAGTTGCATCAATGTACAGCAATACCTTACATCAAGAAAGGCAGTAGGATGAAACCATGGAAGCAAAGTGCAAATAGCACACTATCTGCTGACAGATGTTTTTGTGATTTGTTTATTAATTATTCTTTGGGGTTATAATTGCCAAAGCTTAGCAATGCTGTAAAAGACCATTAAAAAAAAAAAAAAAAAAGCCCTAGTTACTGCCCTTTTACTGCAATAAATGGCTTTTCTTCGAAATAAATACTGAGGTTAAGCCATATAAGAAAGTTTTAGACAAAAAGTAAGAGTACAAGACTGGCATCACACTGGCACCAGAGCACCAACAGGTATTGTTTCTGGAGCAAAGCACATCATATTACTGTAATATAACTTTGTATTGCTAGGTTCAACAACTTAGTTAAACAGTTAAACAGGAGACTGCAATTGATGAGGATGAGTGGGGAAGTCAATGCTTTACACTTATCTAAAGTGCACAGAAGGGAAAATAATATTAAAAAATTACATCAGAGAAAGAGCACTCTGCACACACATGAAATAAGACTGTGCAAGAGAACTAAAAATTTCTTCATGCTATAATAACTATTCAGATCTTATCCATGACCTTTGAATGTCAGACTTGATATATTTTATTATTTTATCTGGATGTTTCAACATTTAAATAATCTTGACACGTTTAGAGAATATTCTCCTCCATACACAGAAGCAGAATAGCCCATTCCCTCCCCCTCCCCCCCTTTTGCTTTAACCTAATTAACAGGAATAGTATCCATAAATGACAAAACAGGAAACGAGGCCTTTTTTTTTTTTTTCTTAATCCATTCATTCATTTGCTAATTTTTGTAGTCATTCTTAACAGTCTTGCTCAAGATCAAATACTTTGTTCAGAATCTCAGTTGCCGATTCAGTTGCAGTTTACTTTGTACAGTGCTTATTAACTACTGTTGCTTAGTGATTATTAACTGTTGTCTAAACATATTTTAGCTTTCAGACAATATTGAAGAAGTAAATATGTAAAAAAAGTCATTAATGAACTTAATGCAGATACAGTAAGAGCAATTACTTATGGTATTTTGTCCATCTGAACCTGAAGCATTCTCTGCAGTGTATTAGTAGTCATGGAATTAATAAAGTAGTAAAAATTAAACACATTAGCTAGTACTTTTCGACTTAAAAGAAACAATCATTTATCTCAGACTAACTTTAGTACTATCAAGCTGTCCTTTGCATCAAATATACATTGAGTCGAAAAAAAAGTTCTCAAGGCAAAGGTAGCAATGTTCAGATAAAGTTATGCTCGAACACAGCTTGTGTGTTCCTTACAATTACTATGGAGACCTAAGAACAGACACAGAAATACATTTTGCCAGTTCAGTTAACACATTTTACCAAATGCAAGCTGTAAAAAAGTTCAATATTCAATGCATAGAGAAATAGCTTCACTGTGAACAGCTTTGAAAAAAATCTGTATCAACAATAAATGGGTTATATATTTAAAGAACTCACTGGGCAATATATTTAGAGCAGACTTAAGTCACTGAAGTTTTGTACCTGAACAGATAGGGCTTACAATAAAATTGAATGGTCATTACACATCAGAACCACCCATACCTCATCAAACATAAAACCCAGGCAAAGTTAAAAAAAGGACAATATAAGGGAAGCGATGAGGTAAACCCTATCCGAAGAAAGTGTGTCAATACTTGAGAATGTCACTCATTTCCTTGAGATAACACCACACCATATTGCATTGCCTGACAGATGGAGTCACCATGGTACTGTAGTTCCAGACAGGGTTGAAGCTATTTTACATGGGAGAACATTTGAAAGCCACCACTTACCAAGTAGTAGTCTGCCCCTTGTTAAGGGAATCTGATATTTCTCTTTCACCTACTTTCAGGTAGAAGCCAGTTGTCACTACAGTGGGAGCATTCCAGCTTTGAAGTCCTCCTTTGCGGCCTGGGGAGGTCGGTGCCAAATCTGCCCCTGCCTTGCTGCCCTCTGACCCTACCTGCGCCTGCGCTGATGTCAAAGCGAGATGTTTGTTGATTCAGTGCAAGATGAAGGTTATATTTTTGTTTAGATATAGCAAAATACCTCTTTAACACTGGACTCCACAAAATTTTAATGACTTTTCTTTGGAGTCAGAGATAGTTTGCCAACACCCTATCTGCACTACACATACATGGAATTAATTCAAATTAAAATAACACTGTGCCTATATGCATGAACTTGACTGTATAATGTTAATCCCTGAATCTATTCGTTAACAGCAAAATTACAACCACAGCCATATTTAATGCACAGGCTAAATTCTAAACAACTTCAACTGCAAGATTTTGAGCTACAATTTTTCATCTTTTGTTTATAAATAAAATGCAACAACAGCCTTTTTCCTCAGACACCATTAATAACCTCATATTCATAATTTACATAAAGTAATAACTTCAACAGGTAAATATGGTTGCAAATAATCTGAAATAATTAAATGATTAATGATTTCATAATTATTAAATAATCAGCTGGTTTCTATTACAGGGATTTAAATGCAATAGTAAAGCAATTTCTCTTGGTTTCCTTTATATGACATGAAAATAGTAAAAAATAAATGTCTCGTATCTCTTTTTTTCCCTAAAAGGTTAAGCTCCCATTTTTTTATATTTTAAAAAACTTTTCTTTCTAGAAATCCCAGATCATGAAATTCCTGAAACTTATTCTTACTTTTCTTTAAGTGTTAGTTTGATGAAGGATGGGAGGCATACTATGTTTTGAATTAGAGAAGAGCTGAAGCTAAATTTCAACCTTAGATAAAATCAGTATTCTGTGAATCATGCCAAAACCCTTTAGCAAATAAGATGACTATAAACTCATAAGTTATTGTTTAGGAGCTTAAAATGACTTATTAAATCCCAGTAAGGGATAAAAAGACTATGTTCTTTTCTTAGAAAAGATTACACAATTAACTAAAAGAATGGGAATATGAAATTAAGTTTGGAAGTGTCAGGTATGCTAGCCTTCTGTGGATATTTTGCGATACTTTTTCTGATATGGCTCAGACTGGGTCTTCTGCTCAGCTTCCAAATACATGTTCTCCACCTCCACATCATTTGCTACCTCCTCCCATTCCCATGAAGATGAAACACTATGATCTTATCACCTCTTGTATGACATTATAGATCTTCATCCCAATCCTATGACCAAGACACAAGTAACACTGTGCATCAAAACCACCTCTGTAGCAAGTGTAAGCTATTAACTGCAGAATTAAAAGTCCCAGTATAGTTTCCATTCATACTGTCTCCAGGTTCATATTCAAGGATCACCTCCTCCAAGCTCAGGAGTGATGCAT